CATGACAGCGAGAGAGTACCGTCTGTTACGTGGGCCCCCAGATCAGCCCTGGGACCTAGACACAGCTGTGTCCTCACCAGAGGGGCAAACAGACAGAGTGAAGACGACATGAAGAGATGCGTGGAGAAGGGGGCCAAGAAGGCGGAGGCAGAGTCACAGCCACGGCCACGGAGCGCCACGAACCGCTGGCACCGCCAGAGGCTGGGAGAGGCATGCCGGCGTCTCCATCAGCTCCAGCCGTCAACAAACACGCACCCGAGGCTCAGACACAGAGGCTGGCTTCTCACAGTCCGGGGGCCTGCACGCTCCAAGATTAAGGTCCCAGCCCACTCAGTTCCTGGTGAGGGCCTTCTTCCTGGCTTGGGGTAGGCACCTTCCCACTCTGTCCTCGCATGGCAGAGAGTGCCAGAGATAGAGAAGGAGAGCCAGAGACAGCGGGGTGGGGGGAGACAAAGAGGGAGTGCCCTGGTGTCGACCTCCTCTTATAAGGACACAAGCACCATCTTGAGGACTCCACGCTCGTGACTCCCCATAGGCCCTGCCTCCTAAGACCATCACTTTGGGGGCTGGGGGCTTCAACCTGCAAATCTGAGGATGACATTGAGTCCGCACAGAAGTGTCTCCAGAAGGAACCAGCCCCGTGGCATCCTCATTTTGGACGTCTGGCCTTCAGGGTTGGGAGAGAATTAATCCTAGTTGTTATGGCAGCCACAGGCACCGAAGAGAGACTCAGCTGAGGTTTGGGAGTTGAGAAGCCCTCGCCAGGACAGGACAGTGAGGCGGGGACCGCAGGTGGGAGGCAGATTCTGGGCAGGGCCGCGCCGTGACTTACGGTTCCCCCAGCACCACAGACAGGGAGCGTGGTGCACAATGACGCCCATAGTATAAAGATGAAATGTTATTTTAGAGTAAAACATTGTTTTCACCTAAAAGTTTATATTTTTCTTATTTTAAAAGAAATGGATGCACTTTGGGAGGCCCCTAAGAGTACCGTGGGCCCCCACCTTCTGCCCACAGCGCCTCCGGGGCAAGTGGCTTCGGTTCTGGGCCATGGCACAGGAGGGCTGCATGTTTAGGAAGGACGGGGGCAGCCCCAGGCTGGACCAGAGGGGATGGAGGAGCTGCGGGCATCGGGCAGGGCCGGAGCGGCCCGCACCTGCAGGCCGGGCCAGAGCTGTCGGATCTGTAAACCCAGACATGCAGTGGGAATGTGAAGGATTGAGGGTCACCTTAGCTGCTGCACAGGAAATGAGTCACACCACGGTGTGTCCCTAAAGAGAGGTGGCTCCGAAAAGCCTTCTTCAAAGGAGTTCCCACAGAAGCAGCTGATTCCACCTGCAGAATCACCGCGCAGCGTCTTCCAGTTTCTCTCCACTTCATCCTCTGTTACCGGCCGCCTTCTCCTGCCTCCCTCTTGCGAGGACATTGTCTTTGCAGTGAGGACCTGTGTGGGTTTCCTGGGCAGCCACAGCAAACCACCCACACCTGCTGCTTACAACAGTACATGCTTGTTGTCTCACAGTTCTGGAGGCCACGGTCTGGAATCCGTAGCCGTGAACAGGGCTGGTGCCTCCTGGAGGCTGAGAGTCGGGCCAGTGCCCTCCAGCATCTGGTGTGGCCGGCAGCCCCTGGTGGCCCTCGGTGGGCTCCTGGCCGCACTGGGCCTCTCCCCTCATGGCACCCTTCTCCCTGTGTCTCCTCTTCTCACAGGACACAGGTTATAGCAGATCAGGGCCACCCTATTCCAGGATGACCACGTCTTAATGAATCACGTCTGCAATGCCTATTTCCAGATAGGGTCTCATTCTGAGGTGTGGGGAGGGATGTGAATCTGGGGTGGGTGGGGGCATTACCTGGCCCAGCACAGGGTGCCGGTGGGTGTCCCAGGAGACTCCCCCTGCTCCAGACCTGTCATCATGTTGCCGTCTAAGGCGGCACTCACAGGTTTGAGGGGCTGTACATCTTTAGGGGCCTGGCACAGTGTGTGCCCAGCAAGTAGGCGACCGCATCCTCGCCAGCACACATGTGCTAGAAACTTCTGTCAGGAAATGCTGCTCTTCACAGCCAAGAGTGGAAACTACTCGATGCATTGCAGAGCAGACGCCCTCCCTCCGGCCTGGCCCCGAGCCATGCCGGGTGTGGCGGGACCCTCACCCGGCCCTGTGTGCTCTTCTGATGTGGCTGAGAGGGCCAGGGCCTGGGCATGCCCTCAGCACTTCCAGTCCAGAGGGGAGCCTGTACCCACATTTTGGCCCTGTGAGTAAAGGCGGCCTCCCCCTGAGCTTGTAGGGAGGATGTGGGACACTGCCTGATGCCACCTGCGTGACTGTACCTGAAAAGTCGGGAAAAGGCCCTGAGGAGTCACCTGACTCCACAGAATGCCATTTCCTGGGGTCGCTTGACCAGGAAGTCATTGACACAGCCCTGCCAGCCGGAAGCTGGGGCAGGGACGGGCCCTGCCTTCTGAGACAGCCTCTGTGTGTGGGTGACCATGTCCCAGAGGTCTCTGCTCAGCCCTGAGGGTGGGTGGGGGTGGGTTGGAGGGTGGATGGTGGGGGTGGGGCCTAGTTGGCCAGAGAGGTCTGTGAGGTGAGAAGGGCTGGGGTCTCTCCTCCTGTCCCCGCCCCGCCCTGCCTTGCTCTGAATCTCTCCCTCTGTCTGTCTCTGTCTGTCTCTGTCGATCTCTGTCTGTCTCTGTTGGTCTCTTTCTCTCTCTACTCCCCACCCTGGTGTCTTTGGAGCCCTGGGTAGGGTGAGTGCTGAGTCTGGTCTGGTTTGGGGTAGATATTCTTTGATCTGTTACCACTCCTGGAGGGAAAGCCCTGGTCCCCCATTCCTGCAGCGCCAGGCCCCCCCACCAGTCAGTGGGCAGGACGCCCACCAGTTGCCCCCATCTGGCCCAGGGGGACATTCCCTCTGCTCTCCAGGAACCACTGCAGGTGGTGTGGCCCCTGAGGGGAGCATAAGGGTGCAGTGCCTGACTCAGGGGACACAGAAGCCCTGTCCATATGGCCTTTTACGCAGCACAGCACCCAGCCCTCAGCAGCCTACAGCAGGAACCAACAGGATAGGTGCCCAGGGGCCCCAAAAGTCAGAGTTCCTCCCACAGCTGCCAGGGAGCACAGGGACCGCAGCACAGGGCTTCTGCTCAGCACCGGGACCCCGCTCACTGCAGCCAAAGAAACAGGTAAGTCCAATGGCTCCATGGCCAGGACCGGGCACCTGGAACAGAGTGGTCCTGGGGCGGCCACATCCACTCCTTCCAGGTGAGTTCCCGGTGACCCTCGGCCTGCAGTCGGCCTTGCTGAATTCTCTTAGGCCACCCGGACGCCCCTGTTAAGCGTCCAGCTGTTGATGGCCCATTGGTCTGTAGAAGACCTGGTCAGCCCGTCTGCCTTCTGTCACCCATGGAGGCGCCCGCAGGTGCTCAGCGCAGCCCGCCCGGCCCTGCACAGACCCGAGGGGGCACCAGGGGGCGCTGCCGGCCCGAGGACGCGGGCGCGGGGCGGAGGCTGCGGGGCAGGAGCCGCCGCGCGTGTTCAGGCAGCTGCCCGGGACTGCGGCACTGACCGCACCCCCCAGAGGCCCCCGGGGGGTTCCGTCTGAGCCTAAACTGAAGACAGGGCCTGTTTTCAGTCATCCTGACCCAATAGACTGCCCGTCAGTGCCCGCCCTGCCCGGCGCCCTAGTACCCAGAGATGTGGGGACTCCAGGCCGCCAAAGGCAGGGGCGCAGCGGGCGGTTGAAGGAAGATTGGGACACGGAGCAGAGGGGCAAGGCCTGGGGCCGGAGGGGTCAGGGCGCTCTGCCAGCCTCACCACCTGCAACACCCAGGCACGGACACACGCACACACTCCGCACGTGTGAACACGCATGCATGGCTGCACACACGTGCACACAGAGGCACAGCCCGCAGGAACACAGATGCACGCACACAGGCACAGGCACACCCCTCGCTCACTCTCTCTCACACACACCCCAGGTGCAGACACCCCCATCCAGAGGATGCAGCTTGGGTGGAGAAACAGGCTGGGTCACAAAAGGCACGGGAGGCAGCCCCTGCTGTCTGGCGTCTTCTCTGGGGAAAGCTTTTCCGGAGCCTGATGGAGGAAGACAGAGGAAAGAGACCTGTGTTCCCTGGTGCACTGGACAGCCACTTCCCGGGGAGGGGGAGGCAGCAGCCAGGTCCAGCCCTCTGGGGAGTCAGCCGCTAAGTGTGGCCCCCACAAGTACCCCCCCCCCCGCAAAAAAAGAGAACCTGAGGACGCTGGAGCACAGAGGGCCCAGAGGCATGAGAAGCTCAGGCCGCTGGACAGGGGACCCCACCCCACACCTGAGGTCATAGGCCATTGGCTGACCTGGCACTCAGAGAGGACCCGGATCCCGGTCTCCCCAGCTATCGTCTCAAAACACAAACGTGAAGTTTTCGTCAGGAAACCGGCGCTGTCGGTGGCTTCCCCCACCGGGCTAGCTCTGCCTGGCTGTCACCCAAATGCCAAGGGCCTGTTTTGGAAAAGCATCAACCACAAGTTCCTTGTGAGGCCTTGGCGTGGGTCCCTCCCCTCACGGAGAGACACCAGACCAATCCGGCTCTTCCCCACCGCCCAAGCCTCAGACACGCCCCATCTTCCTCGTGTCCCCCCAGCAAGTCACCAAGCTGGTGGGGGCCCAAGGGAAGCAGGAGCAGAGGCTACTCTGACTGTGTTCATTCCTAAGTCCCTCCCTCCTGCCCCAACCTAAAACACAGTTGTGGGGAAGGAGGGCCAGTCCAACCTCCAACAGGGAGGGCCCTCTTGATGTCCTCCCCTGGACCCTTTGCCCTCAGGGCTCCCCACACTGGGGAGTGACATAGGGTGGCCCCTGGGAGCACCTGGCCCCTGGGAGCACTGTCCTGCACAGAGCACCTGGGAGACCCACAGCATCCTCCCTGCATCTGGCCCTCGCCCCACCTCACAGCGTCCAGCGAGGCTGTCCGGATCCCATGGCCACACGGCCAGATCATGGACTTCCGAGCCCTGGCTCTCTCCAACATCCACATTACACTCATGTGGTCCCTGGAGTGGGTTAGTGACAGCATGGCCAGCCTGGCCCTCTGGAGAAGCACGGAACTGGGGTGGGAGTAGGGAGAGGGACAGGCCTCCATGGGTTGTTCCAGGACCCTCCATGGCAAGGGACCCCATTCCCCCCGAGAATTTATCTGTTTTTGTTCCACCCTGTCTTCTCCTAAGAATGGGCCCTGCCTTCCCCTAGCCCAGCACCTGCCCCTCCTCTGGGAAGGTCCCTGACCAGCCACCCACTCCAGGTACCCACTTCTTCCCCAGGGAACTTCCACCCTGTCTGGGCCATTGCTCCAGACCCTCCATCCCCTCATCAACCTTGGGGGCAGGAGGTCAAAGAAAAACCAGGCTGCTTTGTTCTCAGCAGGAGCCCAGGGCCTGGCAGAGGCTCTGCCGGTCATAGGATGAGCCAAGGAAGTGAAGAGTGACACTGTCCCAGGTCCCGAGGACCCAGGCCCCGTGCCCCCATAGGCCCTGCCCCACAGGCCTGCCCTCCCCCAGCCCCACCCCTCCCCAAACCTCATCCCTCCCCAGCCTTGCCCTACCCCAGCCCCACCTTCCCCAGGCCCCACCCCTCCCCAGCCCCACCTTTCCCAGGCCTCACCCCTCCTCAGGCCTCATCCCTCACCCCAGCCCCACCCCTCCCCAGTCCCACTCTCTTCCAGCCCCACCTTCCCCAGGCCTCACCCCTCCCCAGGCCTCATCCCTCCCCAGCCCCACCCTCCCCGGGTCCCACCCTCCCCAGTCCCACCCTTTTCTGGCCCTGCCCTCCCCAAGACCCCCCCCAGCCCTCACGGCCCCTCAGTGTCCAGCGAGGCCGGCTGGGTCCCACGGCTGCACTGCCAGGTGGTGAGCTTCCAGGCCCTGGGCTCCCAGGACCCTGTCACTTTAGGGATCCCCTCCCACCCACCTCCAAACCCCTCACACCCCCACCACCCTCCCCCGCAGCCCCTGCTTCCTCACGCGCTGGATGAAGAACCAGTAATTAAGATGTTCAAGTATTTTCTTTGAATTTCTTTCTATTTATACACCTTCAAATTAAAATTGCAATAAAGCTGTCTGTATAACTCAACGCTCTCACTCAGCACGACCCTCTCGTGAGTGTTTTCTCACGTTACCGGAAGTTCTTCGGCAGCACCGTCTGCCTGTGGCGGCTGCCGAACATGACAGGATTTGCATTTGCCAGAATCGATTGACCTACTTCCATGAGGTTGGAAAGATGGACATTTAGGCCCTTTATTTCTTTATTTTATTTTTACCAGCATTTTCTAAATGCTGCAAAATGAACACCTGTACCGTTTTGTTTACTCCGCCACATAGATCAGGGGTCTGCAAACATGCTCTGCAGAGAGCTAGTCAGAGAGCTGTGCTGGGGGCGGGGACGGGGAAGGTGGTCTCCACCACACTCTTCCTTATCCGCTAATTGCTTTCACAGCCCTTTCAGCGTAACCACCGACCACCCTGAGCTCTTGGCCGTGCAGCAACAGGCCACAGAGCGGACTTGGACCACTTGCCAGTTTATCATCCTAAAGGTAGGATTACTAGGTCTGCCAAATTGTAAGACTTTGGGTGCATATTACCAAACTCCTCTCCAGAACAAAATTATACTAATTGCTACTTTTGCTCGTAGTATCTGGAAATGCGTATTCCTCTGAATATCTGCCAACACTGACTATTACTATTGTTAAGCAGGTTGCTAAATTCATCGTTAAAACTCAAATTGCATCTTCCTGGGTGGTTGTGATTCTATTTCCACATCTAATTTCATTCCATTGTGCCTTCCCTCTTCCCGTAAGACCTCTAGATACTGAGGACATCAGATGTCAAAACTGTCACAACGTGCTTCCGGTTTTTGTTGGATTTTGCTTGTTTTGTTATGGAGTTTTCTGAAGTATCACAGGTTTTAATGTCTTTGTAACCAAATCTAAATTTTTTTGAAAGCATTTATTGATATATAATTGTACATATTTATGGGGCAGTTATGATATTTTGATAGTGCACACAGCTCGTAGTGATCAAATCAGGATATATAGTATATCCATCACTTCGAACATCTATTTCTTGGTGTTGGGAAGATTCCAGTTCTTCTAGCTATTTTGAAATATACATGGACCAGGTGCAGTGGCTCACGCCTGTAATCCCAGTGCTTTAGGGGGCCAAGGCAGGTGGATCACCTGAGGTCAGGAGTTCGAGACCAGCCTGGCCAACATGGCAAAACCCCGTCTCTACTGAAAACACAAAAATTAGCTGGGCATGGTGGCACCTGTAATCCCAGCTACTCAGGAGGCTGACAGGAGAATCGCTTGAACCCAAGAGGCAGAGGTTTCAGTGAGCTGAGATCACACCACTGCACTCCAGCCTAGATGACAAGAGTGAGACTCTGTCTAAAAAAAAAAAGAAAGAAAGAAAGAAAAAAAATATATACAGTAAATGATTGTTGCCTTTGGTCTGTGAACTGTGCTGTGGAACGCTGGAACTTACTCCTTCCCCCGACTGCATGTTTGTGCCCCGTAACCAGCCTCACTTGATGTCTGCCTCTCACCCACACACCCGGCCCAGCCTCTGGGGACCACCAGCCAACTCTCTGCCTCGGTGAGAGCCACTGTTTCAGTGCCCACAAATGAGTGAGAACATGGTATATGTGACTTTCTACCCTGGCTTACTTCGCTTAACATGATAGCCTTCAATTCCATCCCTGTTGTTGCAAACATGATTGCATTCTTGTGTACGGTGCGGAGTATTCCATCGCGTACAGATGCCACGTGTTCTGTATCCATTCATCCATTGATACGCACGCAGGTCGATTCCGTATATTCGCCACTGTGAACAGTGCTGCAGTAAACAGGGGGTGCAGATTCCCTTTCACATAGGACTCTCTTTCCTTTGGATGAATGCCCATCAGTGGGGATTGCTGGATCATAGGGTAGCTCTATTTTTAATTTTTTAAAAACTCAATCCCGTTGTCCGTAGCGGCTGTATTCATTTACATTCCCACCTACAGTGTGCGTGGGTGCCCTTTCTCCACATCCTCGCCAGCATTTGTTATGGTTGTTTTTTGTTTGTTTGTTTTTTTGTATATCTGAAAACATCTTTATTTCGCCATCATTATCTAAAAATAATTTTCATTGGTATAGAATTCCAGGTGGACAGGCTGGATTTTTTCAGTACTATACTTTAAATATGTTGCCCAACTGTCTACTTAGGTTGTATTTTTTTTTTTTTTTTTTTTTTTTTGAGACGGAGTCTCGCTCTGTAGCCCGGGCTGGAGTGCAGTGGCCGGATCTCAGCTCACTGCAAGCTCCGCCTCCCGGGTTTACGCCATTCTCCTGCCTCAGCATCCCGAGTAGCTGGGACTACAGGCGCCCGCCACCTCGCCCGGCTAGTTTTTTGTATTTTTTAGTAGAGACGGGGTTTCACCGTGTTCACCAGGATGGTCTCGATCTCCTGACCTCGTGATCCGCCCGTCTCGGCCCTCCCAAAGTGCTGGGATTACAGGCTTGAGCCACCGCGCCCGGCCTTAGGTTGTATTTTTTAATTAAAGCCATCTGAACTGGGGTAGATGATATCTCATTGTGGTTTTGATCTGCATTTCCCCAATGATTCATGATGTTGAGCATTTTTTCACTTGCTTTTTGGGGCCAATATCCAGAATAGACAAGACAATCAAACACGAAAAAATGTATAAATAAATAATCCCATAGAAAGTGGACAAAAGATCATTTCTCAACAGAAAACATGCAAGTGACCAACAGGTATATGGAAAAATCTAAGCTTTTTAATCTTTTTCTCTTTTTTTTTTTTTTAAATGGAGTCTCTCTCTCTGTTGCCCAGGCTGGAGTGCAGTGATGCAATCCTGGCTTACTGCAACCTTTGCCTCCTGGGTTCAAGCGATTCTCCTGCCTCAGCCTCCCAAGTAGCTGGGATTACAGGCATGCACCACAATGCCCAGCTAATTTTTGTATTTTTAGTAGAGACGGGGTTCCACCATGCTGACCAGGTTGGTCTTGAACTCCTGACCTCAGTAATCCTCCCACCTCGGCCTCCCAAAGCGCTAAGATTACCAGCATGAACCACCACGCCCAGCCTGAGCAATGTTTTTCAAAGCCATGTCTCAGGACCACCTCAAGAATGCAGACATGAGGGTGGGATCGGCAGTTCTGGGCGGTGGAGGGGGGAGCAGCAGAGCATCCCACCACAGAAACGTTTCTCTGTTTTGCAGAGCAAAGGGTTCCACAGGGGGAAAAACAAAAAGCAAAAACAAGAACTTCCTGATTACCTTTTATTTTTGAGACAGTCTCAGTCTGTCACCCAGGCTGGAGTGCAGTGGTGCGATCTCAGTTCACTGCAACCTCTGCCTCCTGGGTTCAGGTGATTCTCATGCCTCAGCCTCCCAAGTAGCTGAGAGGACAGGTGCAGGTCACCACACCCAGCTTTTTTTTTTTTTTTTTTGGATTTTTGGTAGAGACAGGGTTCGCTATGTCGGCCAGGCTGGTCTCAAACTCCTGACCTCAAGTGATCTATTCACCTCGGATTCCAACAGTGCTGAGATTACAGGCATGAGCCACCACGCCCAGTGGCTGATCACCCAAGTTCTATCTGCTCCTTCAGGAGCCTGCCGGAGCCTTCATACCTGGAGGCCTCCGAGGGGCTGAGTCTGGGATTTGGGGGAATAGGAGGCTGTTTGAGGAGACCATAGCAGGCGAGCTGCCGGGATAGACCCACAGGGCCCGGGGTTTGGACACTGCCTTTCAAGTGACAGGGAGATGCTGGCGGGCGCCAAGCAGGGTGGTGGTGCCATTACCTTGGAAAGTGCAAGGCTGCTTCTGCTGCAGAGAGAGGGGCTAGAGAGAGGTGCCCATGGTCTAGAAACCTCACACCATTAAAACTCCTATGACAGAAGGTTGGAGGGTGGCTTTTGCTTGTAAACATGATTTCTTACAAACCCACTTTCAACTGAATTTGAGAGTGGGGAAGCTGGGAAGGAAAGCCCAGGTGTAGACGGCCCTGGGTCCGCATGCCCCGGTGCTGGCTGGATCTGGCGGCCTGGTGGGTGTGAAAATAATCTCTGTCTGGGTCTCTCCCGTCGGGATCACTGAGGCTGAGCATTCCTGTGCTGGGGGCGGCTTCCTGCTGGCAGGATAGATGTCTGCCCCTTCGCCAGCTTTCCTCAGGGATGGATGCTCACGACTGGTCCCTACCTCCCTCCAAGGCGTCCTCCCTTCTGTCCCTGCACTGGCCAGGACAGCGGTGCGTCCTGCCCTGACAGAGCTCTGAGGCCTCCTGCGGGCCCCGCCACTGCCCTGGACGGAGCCCTCCCAGGGGTGACTCGGCCGGAGCGGGGGGACCATCCACAAGAGAGGGTGGGCAGCACGCAGGACGTCCTGAGAAGATGCTTGTGCAGCTGGAGTGTTTAAAAACAAACCCTAATAGCGTCAGCTCCTGGGGACTGCAGCAAGGGAACAGGCTCAGGGTCAGCAGCGCGGAGGCCGTGGCTCCGGACACCGTCCCGGCTGGGGACGCGGAGACCACACGGTGGCGCTGTGGGCCGGGTTTCCCGACACTGCAGCGCCTTAGTTCGTTCCCGCGGTTCTCACCCTTAGCCCCCAGCACACTCTGCAGCGGAGGAAAATCAGATCCACCTGCCTGCGGGGTGCGGCCGAGCTCGGTTTCAGCAAACTCTGCAGGAGGGAAAAATCAAATCCACCTGCCTGCGGGGTGCGGTGGAGCTGGGTTTCAGCAAACTCTGCAGGAGGGAAAAATCAAATCCACCTGCCTGCGGGGTGCGGTGGAGCTGGGTCTCAGCAAACTCTGCAGGAGGGGAAAATCAGATCCACCTGCCTGCGGGGTGCGGCCGAGCTCGGTCTCAGCAAACGATGCAGGAGGGGAAAATCAGATCCACCTGCCTGCGGGGTGCGGTGGAGCTGGGTCTCAGCAAACTCTGCAGGAGGGGAAAATCAGATCCACCTGCCTACGGGGTGCGGTGGAGCTCGGTCTCAGCAAACTCTGCAGGAGGAAGATCAGATCCACCTGCCTGCGGGGTGCCATGGAGCTGGGTCTCGGCAGACTCTGCAGGAGGAAAATCAGATCCACCTGTCTGAGGGGTGCGGCCGAGCTCGGTCTCAGCAAACTCTGCAGGAGGGGAAAATCAGATCCACCTGCCTGCGGGGTGCTGTGGAGCTGGGTTTTATGCCTTGAAGTGTATTTGCGGCATCCCATTGTAAAACTGCCCGTGAACGCAGCGTCAGGCCCTCCTTTAAACAGGAAGGCGCTCTAAGACATCGAGAGACTTAAAAGTAAGTAAACAGCAGGAACAGCATGATCTCCTTTGAAAATTGTATTTGGAAACACCAAAAAAGGTAAAATGGGTAGTGTTCTCTAGGTGGAGGAATAGGAATTCGTTTATTTTCTTATTTTTGCATATGTATGTGTAACTTTAACACCACTACTCTGAAAATCACTGAATGTCAGAACATCCCCTAAATATCTGAGTACCTAGGGCGGGTCCGAGGACGTCCCCAGGGAAACTCCCTAG